ACTGTTTTAGACGTGTTCTGCTAACATTAGGGTATATAGTCAGTCCATTTACCGAAGAGTCTTTGGTAACCACAAGGTGGTTTCTAAATACGCTCTCCTCCCTTGATCTTAACCTTTACAAACTGTAAACTTTGATACTCTCAGCCCCAAACCAAAATATTGTGTTTTTATTAAATAGTTTGCTCAGGAGGTTTCCCTCTAATCCCAAATACTATTGTATTAGCTGCTGCCTTTAACAACAGGATATCAGAAGGACCATGGCATATCCCCTTTATCCTGTGTATAAGCCTTTTTAAATTATTTTATGCTGTAAGGTAGGAATCTGCATTTTATGGAGCCTGTTGGGTTGAATGTAGAATTGCAGCGGGTAGTTTCCTGGGAGTGGTGCTTAATTTAAATTTAACATTAGAATTTCTCCTGACTGGACTTGCAGAAATCGGAGTTGAAGGCAGATATTCTTTTGTTTCTCAGACACTGTAGCACTTTGGGTCACTTCCAATGACCTGGAAAACTTGATTCTGCGTGACTGTGCCAAGCCTGTGTCGCTCGCTCTAGCATTGAATTGGATGGGAGCAATAAACTTTTCTTTACCAAATAGAAGAATTGTATCTAAAAGTCAACACAAACCTGTATTTTCCGCTTTGAGATACTTTTAAAATGCCTAGTGATAAAGTGCCAACAAAATGTGTCAGGTACTTAAAGGGACTTTTGATTGCTGACTGATCGTCCAAGACGGTTACATATTTGATCTGTTTACCCTCTTGTTTTTGCTCTAGGCTCTCTTGATTTGTATCTGTGTTCTGTGGAGTGTTGTCGAAGCTCAAAATGCTTCTATGTGACTACAGAAATGGAGGCAGCAGAGCAACTACATGATATTCTTGAAGTATATTTTGTTCAACCTAAATATAGACTCCTGCGGGAGAGCGGATAGGATATTTGAACACGATCGAATTTACAGCGAGGCTGTTTGTTCAGAAGATGGTAGCTAGCGGCAGGGGTTTTAAAAAGATTTGAAATCAATGAACCCCACTGAAAATCGTTTGTCCATGCCAGCAGGAAGCATAGTGTTGCTTTGTGTTCATGCTATTCTGCCATAACTCTTTGTACACAGTAATAGCGTGTCTCCATCTCCACCATTAGCTATTTTTTTTTAAGTGAGTGTTACACTGGAGATAAGAACATAAGAATTTGCTAGGCAAAAGAAGACCGAGGTTCATCTAGATCTCCTTCCACCATCCTGGCAGTCGCTCGACATGTTGTGTCCCAAACTGAATACTGTATCCTGAGATACTATTTTATAGCAGAAGTGTATCTAATTTGTTCTTGAAACAAACAATATTTTCTGCTTCCACCATCTCCCTGTACTGAAGGCACCAATTCCTTGTTCGCTTCAATGCGATGGCTTTATCGTAATTCCTGCATGTCTAACATCTCTCTTGTTGCAGGGAGCAGGTAATCTATATAGGAAAACTATCTGAACTGAATTCAGCAGGCCGGATTCCAAGAAATAGCCTGGCATTGTCTCATGTGACATCTTCACTGTCAATCAGATCATAACAACAGTTATGGCTGATTTCTGAATCATTCAGTGTACACTTTGTTATACCATTGATTGAAGCAGAATACTGTACTTACTGAAGGTAGCAGAGACCCAAAATGTGTTGAGTAAAATGAGTTTTCCATTTGGAACACTACTGGTTACCGTTTCTCCATTATATTGCCAAACTGAACACAAGGCATTGCCTGTCCTTCAGTCAATAACCCATTTGGTTACAAATCCATAGCTGCTGTGCTTTACATTAATCCTAGAAGCTCCTGCTTTATAATCTGCAGCTCTATGCACTACATTGGGCCGGCTAATGTGTTTTATTTTTAAGACCAAACAAAACTAACGTCAGTAGAATTGCAGAAATCAGAATGGAGTGCTCCAAACAACATGCTTTCACCTCAGGGACATGACTTGGAGACTGATGGGATGAAAGTCTTCACTCTTGTTTGCTGTGCAAGACCTATGTGAAAAATGACTTTGGGCAGACTACTTAGTTTGCATTTGATATCAATCCACAGCAGTTTAGACCCAAGCATTACTTGTTACTCTTACTTGGGTGAGTTATTATGGGGCTGGTGTGGGAAATAAAATGTCTTGTTGGTGTAGAAAGGGATGCAATGGTGTTTTGAGGTTAGCACTGTGGTGCACTGTTAGGAAAGAGAGCTTATACACTCCCTATCACAACAACAACAAGAATAAATTTGTATAGCGCCTTTCACATCGGGAGGACGTCCCAAGGTTTTATCCAACTTGTAAATGCCTAATGTTAACCCGGGATAACAAAAGTATGCTTTATTAAGCATTGTTGCAACAAAAATTGAATTGTGAAGATAAATCACGAGGTGTGCAGATTAGGAAATGGTATTTTTATTGGTTTGGCAGATCCTATTTAAGTTGTTTTGTTTTTTTGGTCAGTCAGGTGTCTGACCCATGCAGAAACCATGAATAAGCCCGTCAAAACAAGACTGAGAGTTCCATGTATGTCTGCTACCAGCACATGGAAATTTCCCTGTGTCTAGAATGAAACGCACACTATCTTCCTGGAGGAACCACCCTGCTTACCAATTCCAGAGAGTACTTGGTGCACGTTGCCGAGAGCAAAGGCTTGACAGGTGTGTGTCGGGGTAACTGCTGGAGTTTAACCAGTTAAAACCGCACAGTTAGACATTGAGCATGGCCTGGCAAGCTTTCCGCTGCTCACTCAGCTAGGCCCATCCTACCTATTACTGCTTTGGCTTGCAGGGTTAACACAAACTGAGTGGGATGAATTCCTACCCCCAGTGACTGGTCTGCCCCTCCACGTTCCTGCTGAAGAGCTAGGGTGGTTGGCCTTTCGCCACCAATGCATTGGAGTACTGCAGACCAGCCTGACTCAGGAACTGGACTTCTGAGACTGCCACAGAGGGTTGAACTCTATCCTGATTTTCCATTGCCAGCTCAATTCCAAGGAGACTCCACTTACCTCCCCCTCAAGGAGAATGGATAGTCAACTCATATTACAAATGTGGCTTTACCGGTGGCTTTTATAAGGTTATAACAATTCTTTTGACTTGCATTCAGATACATCCTAGTATTTGATCAGCTTTGTTCATACTTGCCTCAAATCAATGGGGAACATTTGAATTATCAATACTTGCAACCAAGGTCATTTTTTCTTTTCTCAATGCAGGCTCTTTCATAGTTTAGATATGTTTCTTGCCACAATAGGCATTGCCTTGTCTTTTAGCGATGTTAAAATTAATGCGTCACTCCATTATTCATTCATCTACTTCTTGTCCATATTTTTTGTGATGCTTTTATTCTCATATTCTTGTCCTCTGTAGTTTGGATGTTAACCACAAATGTTATAATAATAAAAGTCTTAAATTACCCCATGGAATTCTAGTAGTCACTGCCTTGGGCACAGTTTTTCCATTTATCATACATCTTCTGCGTCCTATTGGTAATCCAACAAGACTGTTTCCCATTAATAATAATAATCCTTGCAATTGCTTTAGCGCTTTTCACGTCGGGAGGACGTCCCAAAGCGCTTCACAGAACACACTGTAAAGTGAATTGACTGTATATTTGTGGGCGAACGCGGCAGCCAATTATGCACAGCAATGTCCCACAAACAGTCGTGGATTGAAAATGACCAATTTATTATTGTTTTTGGTTTTGGAGGGATTATTATTAGGCTCTGTGTGGAGTAAGGAAACTTGCCCAAGGTTTCGCCCTCAGGTCAGGTCAACTCAGGTCTCTCGCTTGCAAATTAATTTCCACATCTAAAAGTTCCACATGTGAATCTGTCACTGGGGGCAGGGAGTCATCCCACTCAGTTCCTGTGAGCCCTGCAAGCCAAAGCCCTAATGAATAGAGTGGTCCTAGCTGTACAAGCAGCGGGAAAGCTTGCCAGACAGCAATATCAGTGGTAAGCTACACAATTTTAGCTGGTTAGACTCCAGCAGTTACCCCAACCCACACTCTTGGGTCTCTAAGTCTTGGCTCTTGTCAACCTGTACCTAGTGCTTTCCGTAATTAGGTAAGCAGGATGCATCCATCCCGGGAGAGAGTGTGTATTCCATTCCAACAATCTATCTCTGGGATTTCCATGTGTAGTTGGCGTCCATGGAAATCTCAGCTTGGTTTGGATACTCTTAAGCAGATGGGTTTCCGCATTTGTCAGATACCCGCATGTGGCCGACAGTAAAAAAAAAGGAGAAAATCTGTTATGCCTCCTGATAATCCAAGCAAATACAGTGTTAGCCACTAGTTATTGCTTCAAAGAATTTCAGTCAATTTGTGAGTCCGACCTATTGCTTTTTCTACTTGTGACTCTTGTGTTTTCTTTTTAGGATGTGTACTTGTAGTATCCCGGCCTTTATCTCTCCACCTCACTTCCCTCTGCTTTTACTTCCCGCCTGAAGGACTACTTACCTCTTCGACTGTGCTTTTAGCCACCTCCCCTCAATCTGTCAGCTCCTTTCCCTTGGGTTCCTACTCAGCCTTTAATGCATTCTATAAGTGTAAAAAGTGTAATCTTTCCAAGCGATTTCCCCACTGAAGATGTTAAGCAATTTCCCCACTTCCCAGATTCATTTCCCACTCCTTTTGAATTTTGAGAATGTTTGCAAATGTCCATGTTTGCAATTGCAATCGCTCCCTCCATTATTTCCTCAGGGTTTATGAAGCTCTTAAGACCTTAACTTCGCCATTCACACTAATTAATGTTTGACTTGTAGAATTTGAAACTTGGCTTTTATAACCTGTTTTTGCATTTTGTCAATATCTGGGTAGCAAAATATATTTGTGGTTCATACCATATATGTTGCACATTATAGGACTCCATTTATAGACTTTGAAAATTTTATGCTGTTGCTTTGTAACGTTATTTTTGTCTAATGGTGGATTCCAATGATTACTTGGACACTTGGGTTATTTACTGAATTGCTATTCCGCATTCTGTCGGCAGGTCAGCCCTCCAGATGTATACATTGAGAGGTTTAATGCAGCACTCAGCCAGTACATGGGAGCTCTGCAGAGTATTGTGCCTCTATTCATTTACATGGTGAGTAGCTGCTTGTACAGTAGCATTTTATGATTGAATGCAATGATTCGTGTAAGTGTTACTCACTAACGGTTCCTCAGGGGCCACAATCCTTGGTCGAGGGGAATGTTGGAAGTCACTGTACTATGGAGTGACTGGAAACGTGTCTGCATTCACCATCAAGTGACCTGCTGATATTAATCCTGCCACTACAGGTGGTGGTTGCCTAGTGGAGGAAAGGCACTTCCCCACAGGCAGAGGGATAAATGGTTCTATTCCTTTGCCTCCTTTTCCCAAAGTTCAGGAACAGTTCAGTCAATGTTCCACTGCCGGTCAGGCCCTGAAGAGAGGAACCAAAACCTGGAAGAGCAAGTCTGCTGAAGGTTGCTGGTGCAAATAAACCCCAAACCGTAAGAGTCCCACAGATTAATGTGCTCATATATACACTGGGCCCAGTTTTACTTGTTTTCCTTAGCTTTTGTTGTAAGTGGACATTGTATTAAATGAAAGGACCTTCCTTCATTGTTCCTTTGCAGGTTAAATCTGAATTGCAAATTCCAGTGACTCAAAAATCTTCATGTTCTTAGTTGTAATATCATGATCAGATGAAATTTTGGAACCAAAATGAAATTGAGTCTTAATTTTAAAAACAATTTTCCATTTTTTTNCCACAAAGACTTAACGGAAAGCTGTGTTCCAAATTAAGACTTCTCCAAATTCTACACAACCTTAAATTGGAGACTAAGGTTTCTGTGGCCTCCACTCTGAAACGAGAGTTGTGTTTAATATCCAGTAATTTATTTTGACGTAAATGGAATTAGATTTGACAGCACATCACAATGCCTGAATCTGCTGATTTTGGTTTTTAAAGCTGCGTTTCCAAAGTCGTCATTCTATGTTTCAGACTAATTTTGTTCATCCTCAGTGAGATTTTTATCCGCTCACCTTTTAATAGAACCTTGGATTAGAACCTTTGATAATTTCAGTGAACAAAATATTGTTAATTGGAGTTTCGGAAGCACTCAGGTTCACTTAGTTTTGGTTGACTCCAATGCTCTTAATAGAAACAGGAGTAGGCCATTCAGCCCCTTGACCCTAATCCGCCATTCGTTCTGATCTGTACCTCAACTCCAATTACCTCCCCTTGCCCTTATATCCCTCAATACCCTGACCTAACAAATATATAGCGGAGTAGTTTTGCCCCCATAGTTAGCTGATACTTTGTGACAATTATTAAAGCGCGTTATATTTGTCAAGTCCTAAACAAAAAAAAGTACAACTGTTTTTCATGGAATCATCCAAGAATTAAGATATAATCAAGTTTCCTTACTCCACATGCCTCTGTTTACCTGGCAGTAAGTAGGAACCCGCTGTTAGTCAATTGGCGGATTGCTTCTCCGGTGTAATAATCCCTTAAAAAAAATAATTATTTGGTCACTCAATGCATGTCTGTTTGTGGGACGCTGCTGTACCCAATTGGCTGCCATGTTTCGCCCACAAAATATACAGTCAATTCACTTTGCAGTATAATCTATGAAGCGCTTTGAGACGTCTGGAATACATGATAAGGCGCTATATTAAATGCAAGGATTATTATTCTAATCATGACCGCCTGGCTGATGGGCAGGCAGATAGTCCAATGGGACTGTAAACTCACTGTCAAAAGTTGCGGTTTCCACGCCGTGATTTTCTTGCAGTCTTATCCACAGAAGGAATTAATTATGTATTTGATAAATGTCATGTTTACACATGAGTTGTAAATCTTTGGACACCTTGCCAAATGCTATTACTAGATAATAGCATTGATTAGAATGATAATCAGTTGTAGTTTTATGTTGCAAAAGGGTTGGGTAAAAATAGTTCCTGATCGTGTGCAGCAAGGGGACAGTTTGCTCACTGGCTTGTTTTGACTGACTTATTTCTATTGTAAGTCTGAATCAATGAATGAACTGCTGTTCCATGTTTTCATTGCCTCAGACATGCCTGCTACTGCTCTTTTCACAGCTTAGGAACATTTCGATCTACATCTACATCGAGCAGTTCCCTTTCTTTCCAATTCCTGTGCCTCTTCTACAGCAAGAGCTCGAGAGCCATCACCTCTTCGTCTTTTTCGGCTTATGTTGCCATCGTCTGTAAAAATTTGTGCACCCGCTTCTGGTCTTCCACTAGTTACTCCTGTGATGTGTGTTGTGGGAGGTGTTTGTCCTGCTTCTGATCCTTTACGAGTGCTTCTCTGATCCAGATACGGGAGGCAGCTGTGCTGCCCACTCACCTACTTCCACTCCTTTGCCAATCCATTCAGTGATGTGCCAGGAGAGGTACAAACAGATCCCCTTTCCAGTCCTCTTTCAATTCAGTCAACAACAACTTGCGTTTATATAGCACCCCTCATGCTGGGTAGCGTCCCTCAGTGCTTGATAGTGGTGGAGACCTATCCCGAGCCAGTGGGGGAGGGAAGGGGGAGGAGGCCATAAGCACGATCAGAAGGGAAGGTTTTTAGGTGAGATTTGAAAGTGGGGAGAGATGTGGCAAGGCGGAGGGATTAAGGGAGGGAGTTTCGAGGAGTAATGGCTGAAGGCACGGCCACCGATGGAAGACTGGAGGGGACGAGGGACGAACTGGAGGCCGGAGCCAGCCGAGCGGAGGCAGCAGGTGGTGGAGTGAGGGGTCAGCAAATCTGATAGGTAGGGAGGTGCCTACCTACCTATTTGTCTTTGAAAACAGATACTGAAGTGAGTCGAAGTAATCTCTGGGCGCTTTTTCCCTTTGATTTAAAACTCTTTCCTATGTCATGTTGGAAAACATCTGGGTTGGGTTAGTGGTCTCTGGCTGGCTATGATTGGAAGCTTAGTGGTGTTGGGTTTAGATGCATATAATTACCATGTGCTAGTATTATGAGCTGGTATTTGAGTGTGCTGTGCCACCTGCAATGTGCATCTGCCCTCCTTTTCAATTTGTCAGTGTTTTTGTTTTATTCACCCATTTCCTTCCCATGTTTCCTGTCACTTTTACCTACTCCAATGTGCCAGGGTAGAGGGCTTCTTTGCTTATTCTGACCTTAAACATGTCCTGATTCCACTGCAAACTATTCTTCTCATACCGGTAGGGAATTTGCTCATGTGCAGCATTCTGCTTGTACAGAATGAGTCTTATCACTCGTTGCTTATTATATTTCTGCTTCTGGAGCTGTCTTACACGTTTAGGTTTGTGACAGAAACCGCCCTGTTTATATTCCATTTTGCTAGTGTTTTGTTTGCTGACGAACAATGTAACTGCAATTCAGTGGTGTCCAGTGGGAGCTCTGCTCATTGTGTACAATCACAGGACCATGTAATAATAAAAATAATCCTTGCATTTGATATAGCGCCTTATCATGTCTTTCAGACATCTCAAAGCGCTTCACAGAATAGACTGTAAAGTGAGTTGACTAACAGCCGGGTTCCTACTTACTGCTAGGTAAACAGAGGCTTCTGGAGTAAGGAAACTTGTCCAAAGTTTCGCCCTGCCCAGGAATCGAACTCGGGTCCTCTCGCTTGCGAGGCGAGTGCTCTAACCACTGAACTACAGGACTCCATGATAAACATCCAACACTCATTTGCAAGACACAATTCCTGGCTTTGTAGCTGGCTGCTACATCTCTGCACTAGCTGGTGGGAGATTTGTACTCACTGCCTTGTGTGACTAGGATCAGATGCTCAGAATAGAAGACCCTCTTTTTCCCTGAGGAGAAGCCAGTGTTCTTTATCTTCACTTCAGAGGAGCAGAGTGACCTTGCCCAGAAAGCGTTAGCAGTTGAACAAGTTTCAATCCATCATGTTGGAACCCAAATTACTGTAACAGCGTAACTCTATAACATCTCTACAGAGATGGCTTATTTTTTTTAAGCAATGGTTGCTGTGAGTAAACACTTTACAGTGACTGCGAGCCAGTTCCTTCAGTCACTAATTGGAGGGGGGTGTGGGGAGGAGCTGAAAATGAGCGTTATAATCACAATCTCAGAGCATATTGTGACTTTCCATTTCTCTCCTCATTTGATTCTCCAATTTAAGGGTCTTTTATCGATCTGATCCTGTAATAATCTGAGCATTGCTTCATCTCCCGAGTTTTAGCCACCTCTGCTCCCCATCACTGGGAGCTGCAAGCTGCCTCCAGTCTGGAACGCAAAAGAATGCTGTCAAGGTCTGGCATCTGTGATCGTGGCAAGCAGTTCATCTTGTAAATGCTGCAGAGAGGAAATAATAACTGGATGATTTGTGGACACTGCCTCCTATTGAATTGTGCTGCTCCTGTTGCCCTTGTTAATAATGTCTTATTAACCCCTATGGCTCTTTCCCTTTGTTAATCTGGGGAACGCATTTTATGTTTTTTTCTCTTTCCTTCCCCTCCACACACACACACATACACACACATATTTAAAGTGGTAGATTTGCAAAAGTCGAGTGTTTCAGTACAGAAAAAAGGAAAGCTTGCACAACAACTTGTGTGTGTGTGTATATAGGTGTATACATATATGCATATATATATATACACCTATATACACATACATATATTTATATATACACACACATATATATCTATATATATTTAGCACCCTTCATGCAGGAGCTTGAACAAAGCGGTGAGGGTTTTCATTTTGAAGATTTTATTTAAAGTTGAGAAAGTAACGGAGTAGCCTGATAGAAATCTTTAACATAATGAGTTACAAGAGGGTGAATAGAGCGAAGTTCTGTATTTTGGAGATGGTAGAGGAACAGTGCATTTATACTATAATACTTGTAGTTCTTTACAAGTGTGTGAGTGCGAGGGGGGGGCGTGGGGCGAGACACAGAGAGAAGATAAGAGAATATGTAGAAATGTTTTTGTAGCACAGAATGTTCCGTCAATTTGTAATCTTTAAGTGACAGTCCAAGTGCATTCACACAATTTGTGGTTAGCACATTCGCCTCGCAAGCCGAGGTTCAATTCCCATGAGGTGTGAAACCTTAGGCAAGTTTCCTTACTCCACATGCCTCAGTTTACCTAGCAATAAGTTGGAACCTATTTGTTAGTTGATTGGCAGATTGCTTTCCAAGGATAATGATCCCTTCTTAGGAAAAAAAGGTCACTCAATCCGCCAATGTTTGTGGAACGCTGCTGTGCCCAGTTGACTGCCATGTTTCCCCCATAAAATACACAGTCAATCCACTTTACAATATATTCTGTGAAGCGCTTTGAGACGTCTCAACAACGTGATAAGGTGCTATATCAAATGCAAGGATTATTATTATAATTTCAATCACGTTTGCTGGGGAAAATAAATAACAATTCTGAATTGTTTCGACAGATTCATGCAATCATTTCAGTCCAGAGTTCAACACATATTGTGTGGCTGTTCCAGCTCTCCCAGATTGTTGGTGTTAGATTCACATTTCTAGTGAATAGCAACAATAATAATGCTTGAGTTTGATACAGGATTTTATCACGATGTTGAAACTTCTCAAAGCACTTCACAGGATTTTACTGTAAAGTATAGGCAAACACTAGCAGCCAAATTATGCACAGGAATGTCCCACAAACTGCCATGAAGTGAATGATTAATTTTGCCTGGGAAATTGTAAGAAGAAACTCTTTTTGAACAGTGTATTGCTGAATCAATTACTGAAGCTGATTTAAGGATTAGGGCACCTTTACGTATGTCTCTTTGAATTCAGTGCTTAAGTTCAGTGCTGTTCTGAAGGGTTTTTTGTGTTTTCATATTTTGCAGAACAAATTTTACATAGAAACCAAACTTAACCGAGACTTGAAAGATGACCTCATAAAGTTGTTTACAGAACAGGTTGCAGAAAAGCACGTTTCCACCTTGATGCGTAAGTATGGCCAGATTTACGTCATCTCATGTTGTGTGCGAGAGCTGATTTGATTAAAAAGGAAGCCAAGCTCGAAAATCCTGTGTAGTTTAAAGCTTCATTGTGCCAGTGATGAAGAGAAACCATTTTTGCCAATTGCTACTCTTCCATAATTCTTTCCAGAATATAATCTCCTTTCTTTTGGCACCTACATATGCAAGGATTATTACATAACAATATACACTAGGTGGCATTGTTTCTTCTGGACACGGTCATCAATATCTAAGATTGAGTCTTAAACTCGCTTTTCAAAGCAAGAGCAATAACAACAACAGATTGCATTTATACAGCGCCTTTCACATCAGGAGGATATCCCAAGGCGAGGGACAATGAGGGGTTTACATCCGAGCTGCGGGTTGGGATCAGAGGGTCGGAGGGAAGATGTCCGAAGCTGTGGTCGAAAAGGAGGGTCTTAAGAGGGGCCTTGAAGGAGGCAAGGGAGGGCGAGAGATGGAGGGGCTCCCGGATGGACTGGGGACAGAAAGGCTAAAGGCTTGACTGCACTCAAACCAGTGCTGCTTCTACCTTGGCTGCTGTGCTTTCTTTGTAATTGATGGTTGCTCCGAGATTGAGACAGATCTGCGTGGACAGCATATACGTTGCTGGTCAACGGCTCTGGAAGTGGCTGAGATTGTTTCAGTATTTCTGCCAATGCTTTGGGTGTAACAGGCAGAGAAGTAGCACCAGAGGGCGTCAGTTATTTTCGGGTCAAGTCCCTGAAATCCCTTGTAACGTAATGGTAAATGCAGCAAAGAAAAGTTGAAACTCTTATTGCGTTCCTTCACATGACTTAACTAAGGTTCACAGCAATTGAATGTCAAATACAAGGACAGTCAATGAATGTCATCCACAAGGACACCAAATATTGTTATCAGTCATACATCAGATTCATCTCACTCTCTGACTGAACAGGTCTTCAAATTGCTACTCATTTGGGGGAGCGGAGTGATGAAAGGAGCTCTAGAAATAATGCTAGTACGTGCTGTGCGTGCGTTTAACAAGCAACAGAGAGTGTTTTTCAGTCTAGTTTGCCCTCCTGCCGCCAGTGGTAGTGTTGAAAAGTATCTGGATAGAGCACGATGTCTCGCTGTTGCCAATGGTAACAAGACCACCTCTGCCCAGCTAAATATGCATTAACTTCGGCAAGAACACACGTTTTAACATGCCATTGTGCATGTGAAGCCGTAGGAACAAGGAGAGACTATTCAGACGAGTTTGCTCCATTATTTGATTTGATTATGCTGGATCTTTTAATAATAATAATAATCCTTGCATTACTCTCCCATTCCCTGCCTTTTCTCCAATTTTCTTTGTATCCTTACTTTCCCCTTTTATCCATCTTACGCTTCAACGTTCTAGTTGATTCCATCTATGGAATCTTTTTTGAGCCGTGTCTGTCTTCACATTCCAAGTGTGTAGCAAGGCCCGCAATAGACGTCCAGAGGGTGGAGAAAACTGAAAAGGTAAAGGGAAATAAGAGACTGGTTGTGTGATGCCAGAGGAATGCACAACTTGTTGCAAGGACACTACAGTGTCCTCGGATTGCTTGTGCATTCATATTGCAGTGTGCAAATCACAGGTCTGTAACACAAACGGTGCATTGCGCCTTTGTTCCCCAGAAGCAAATTGCGATCTTCGTGCCTGCCCGGCAGCCTTCTCTAGTTTCCCCTCGAGTTGGGTTCCTTCATTAATGCTCTTAATTGAACCGCTCCCTGCTTCATAATTCAGTGATATATTAATAAGTCTATGTAGAATTTGAATGAATCATTTTGGAATTAATTGGGGCGGGGGGGAGTTGTTGAAATTTTCTAACTTTTTGTCTTACATTTCCATTTTTTTTCAGCTTTACTAATAGAAGCTCAGTCAACTCCATTTAAGATTACGCCTTCAACGATGGCAAACATTGTTAAAGGCTTGTACACTCTTAGACCTGGTAAGTAAATAAAGGATGAAAGTTTTCAAACAGTGCAGGCATTGCCAGTCAAAGGAAATTCATTAACCTTCCACTGGGCGTCCTCTTTTGAAAAGATGTTCCCAAGGTTAACTAAAATATATCTTTTTAAATAAGCTTAAGCCTTTGCAAGTTTGTATGTGGTTTGTATAACCGTTCTCTAGAAAGGTTAGCCTATGTTCTTTATACAAAGATGGAGTTCAACCAATATTTCAAAAATATGCTTTGGAGCAAACACCATGAAGCAATGGGTCATTCAACAAGAAGATGTATCATTTGTTATTTCTCAAGAACTGTTTTGGCTCTTGCTTTGGGCAGTTAAGTGCCTTGCACCAATTAGACTGCATACTTTGTGGCTAGATGCACATCTTGGCTTCTTTCTTGATTCACATTGTTTCACAGACAGAAGGTGGAGTCGATTCTCTTATTAAGCCACAAGTGCTTTGCTCAGCTCGGACCAAGATTGCTGAATTTTATGGATTGACTGAGTAAATTGAGTTTGTTGCCTCAAACTTTCTTAAAACTAGCTTAACGTTGAGTCCTGGCAGCAATTTGTTTACCAGGGTCAGTGGAATGGTGAACATTGGTTCAAAATAGATGGAGGAGCGAGGTGGGAGAGGGAGTTTGACTGTGTCTAGCGTCCTCAGAAAGCATTTCAACACCGAGGGTTGAGAAATGATGAATGACTGGCCTGAGAAAACTGCAGAGGCAGAATCCAATTGGAATGTTAAAAGGGAAATTAGATTTCCTGCAGGTAGATACGCGTGAAGCAAAAGTATTAAAGGGTGAGGGGAAAAAAATGGTAGAATGGGATTAAAAGATGTGCCAACTTCACCGTGTTTGTCGTTTGCACTGATGTAGTGTGGAATAATTAGCAAACACACTATAGCTGTTATCATAACTGTTGCTGATTCTATAGGTTTAACAACTGTACACTGTTGTGTGAATTTTTATAGTGGTTTATCACAATGGTAAGTTTCGTAGCACTTTGCGCAATTGATGTCAGATGTAATTTTTGTGAGTTGCATTCCTCAGCCTTAAGGTGAAAGACCCAATTCTTCTGGGGGTTCTTGGCTTGGACATCAGAGAAAAAAGTACCATCACAACGCAGGTTATTAGAAGCTTTATTGAATGCCACTATTTTAAAGTGCATCAGAGTTCCATTATTAGGTGGAGACAAGTGTATGGAGAATGAACTTTTGACCAGAATGCGATTTACTTAGGCAATTTTGATGACATTCATGGTGCACTAACAGCAGGCTCCTCAGTTACCCGGTGCAGAGAGAAAACTGTGAAGCAAAGGATGGAGCGAACATTCTGTTCCCCAGCAGCCTGACAGCTTTGCATTTTTTTAAAAGTAATATACCAACCTAGCTGCATCATTAATTAGTAGTGCCATTTCTAATTTCACTGGTCTTTTTTTCAGTGATTCCTTTCAGGTTGTGAATATGATTAGGCTGTCATTTCATCGAGAAGATGCACAACAAATGCCATTGAAATGAACAAATTGGAGATTTGATCCAGCTTTTACAAAGTAGTAAAAAGGATGGGAAACGACAACAACTTACGTTATATACAGCATTCGTCATAGAGGGTAGCATCTCGGAGAGCTTAACAGTGCCAGAGCCTGACGCGAGCCGTGGGAGGTGAATGTAAGGACGGTCGAAGAGACGTGATCTGAAAATGTGATTAGGGGGGAAGGGGGCAAGTCGGAGGGATTGAGGGAGCGAGTTCCAAAGTTTCGGAGCGTAGGGCTGAAGGCACGGCTGCCCATGGTGGAGAGGAAGGGACGAGGGACAAGCAGGAGCCCGGAGCCAACCGAGGTTACTTCGGTGACTTCGATAAGATGCTGCTAGGCGTTTTGCATATCTGCCAAATTAAATGATCACAATTAGCGTTTCACACCCGTTTTGAAAATATGGCAAATTAGTCTCAGCTGAATTGATGTATTGATTGGTTTCGACAGTGTTTGCTCTGAAAGGGACTTAAATGTTGTGGCTAATTTTCTTGCTGTCGCAAATTGAATGGATGACGCTTCCAAATCCACCTGTCCAGGGATATAATCAGCGAATTTCAAATGGAGTCTCGTTTCAAAGTCTGGCCTTTTCTGTATCTGTTAGTGTGCTAGTCGTCTCCTTCTGTGCAAATGACTGCTGCCTTGCCCATTCCTAATGGCAATATGTGTCCGAGTCTCCAGTGTGTGACGTGATACTATTTGTTAAAGAAAGAGAAATTGTGTTTTTGTAGCACCTACAAATGCGTCTCAAAGAGTGTCACAGTAATTACTGTTGCAGATGATTGGCTGTAGGCAAACAAGACTGACATGCAAAATTGTACAAATGAACAAAAAGCACATGATGACTGGGAGAAACTCTTCTTTTCAAATTGAGCCATACTCCACCTGAAGAACCTGGTTTAATGTCTGGTCAGTTGTCAGCCTGGCTCATTTGGTAGCACTCTCACTGCTGAGAGACGGTTGTGCGTTCAAGCCCACGTTGGCATTTTAAGATAAGAGCTGTTGTGGTTTGGTCCCATCTGCCTGTTCCAGGTGGACGTTGAAGCTGTAATGGAATATATTATTCAAAAAGAGAACTTGAGTTTCTCCTGGTATCCTGGCAAACAATTCTTCAAAGGGGAAAATGAACTGTATGTGGGACATTGCTGTGTGCAAATTGGCTGACAAATTTCCCAACAATTACTGTCACCAAATTATAGAAATGTTCTGTGAAGCACTGAGAACTTTCAGTGTGCTAACTCACCATATCAAAGTGAAGGGCGATTATTATTTTACTCAAAGGATGGCACCTCTGACAATGCAGTGCCTTCCCAGTACTGTACCAGGGTGCCAGCCTTGATTGAGCTTCAGTGAGGATTGAACTCTCACCATTCCTGCCCAAGGTGAGTGTGCTATCAATTGAGTCAAGCTTAATCATCAAGTTCGAAACAGTGTAAAATAAAAATAATCCTTGCATTTGATATCGCGGCTTATCACGTCGTCGAGACGTCTCAAAATGCTTCACAGGATATACTGTTCTTTTGAGTTTAATTACTTTGAGACTGTTCTGTAAACCAGTGATGTCTTGAACTTTTTTTAAAATTAACGTTTTGAATCTATTTGGTATACCTCCTGTCAAAACCAAAATCGTTAATATTAACTTGCTACTTAAATAAAAAGTTTGTGTTCTTATCTATGTGAACACAGTATTAAAATAGAGTGGCAAATTCACCCTACTTTATGCCGTAATAAATCATGGGTTTCGGGACTGTGCCTTGTTTGTCTGCATGTGAGAGGAACAAAAAGAAGTTGGTTACCTTTGCAGTGATGATTTGCACCGCAGGAAGGGTTTCAATTTCCAAGCTTGAAGAATGCTGGTGTTTTATTATAAGGACTTTGAATCAGACTTTCTTATCAACTTGCTCTTCGAATAAAGCCAGGCTGTCTGTAGTCAAATAAACTTGCCATTTTCAAATAGACGGAAATACATATATTGATATTTGTTCTATCCAGTGCTATTAATGTCTGCTTAGAGTTTGACTTAGAGTAGATCTGAGGTTAGGTAAAACTCAGTCAGGGTTGTTATTGGGTTAGTGTTTTATTCTCTTTTCTTTGTAACTAACGTTTGTTTCCAGTAAATTTATGGCATATTTGTCAAAATTTCCTTTCTATAATATGGCTATAATATGGCTATAATGGTTGTGACAAATCTGTATAGAAATCTTGTCTTTCCTTCCCGGAAATTTAGATATTCTCTGAAACACGAGTGATGTAGTATTGGTCATCTGAGTTTATTGATTAACAGGAAAGAGGTCAATTTACGAGTTTACTGCATGCTTTTGCCAGCGTTTTCCGGATCGAGATTAGGATAGAACACAAACTGACTCATTGCTTGTCTCTGCTTTATAACCTCTCGAGTCATAAAATACTCAGCATGAGAGGTGCAGAGCCAGGCTGCACAAGATATGGAAGTGTTGGAACAAACATCTCCTCCACTGCTTTTTTATTATTCGTGTCTGACTATGAACGTATGTATGTTCCTGAAATAACTTCTGTCAGCTCTGAACTCTAGCAGTTTATTACCCGTTTTCTACAGGGAGATGGGAGACTAAGTGAGGGGTCAGCCCAGGTTTAATAGTCTCTCTCTCTCAGTGCTTTGCACCCCCCCAAAGAAAAAAGATCACACGTACCTTCTTTTTTTAAAAAAGTGACAGATGAGCTGCTGAAAGATAAGCATTCTCTCTCTTTGAAGTTTGATTTTCTCAACCTTTACCTCTGGGTCTATCTTTCTCTTTAGTGAAAGAACTGGGATTGATATTCACGTGAGTTGCAACTGAGGGCAATATATTAACCCGGGTGCTAGAATGTTTCTTCGTATCGATGAGTAAGAGTTTTCCTTTCATTTCCCTCTACTGCTCTATTCTCAAACAATTTTTTCTAGGTTGTCGCAGCGCTTCTATAGAATGTGCTGTTAGATTTTTAGCAGCTGAGGAACTTAAGTGCAAAGACTTTAGTGGTGGGTGGGACGAGGAGGAAGGAGAAGGGAATATAGGGCTGGATGAGAGGAATAGGGCGAGTGTGGATTTGTGTGTAGCATAAACCCTGGCACGGAGTACTTGGGCTAATTGGTTAATTTTTATGCCGAATCATTCTATGTAACTAGTTTTCAGCGCTGAGAGATCTATTGCCTCTTGAGATGCTGAAAGGCACAGATGATGATGTACACAGATTATTTAACTTGAGACTGTAAGAAGATTACCAGCATCACAATAGATTTTCTTTCTTTTTTCCCCATCCCCAATTCTTCCCACCACCTTTCTTTCCCCTCCCACTAACGCGCATGATGTGTGCACAGACTCATACACACAGACACAAACAACCTCCCCTAAGGGAAATGACAAATTCCCAGCAAAACCAGTTGTTGCGATATTGATTAACATCTATTCACAAATTTGCTGGAAAAAATCTTGTTAGCAGTGGAATTGAAAATTATAAGGAAATGTGATGGTTCCGATGGAAATATCATCTGAGAAGCAGCGAGCTGGAGATGGAGGAACAGGTTTTGTTCAATTACCTTTGAGAAAAGGGATAACATTTCCCAAACTCACCCACACACCACACACATACACTCTCTTGTTTAAATGTGGAGACAGGCTGACAAGGTAAACATTCATTTAAATTAATGAGCAACTGCTTTAATGAGAAGGTGGTGTCAATGTGCACAACATTAGATGAGACAAAAAAATGAGTAGTTCCTGAACAGTAACTCCTACAGCCAAGCAGATTCAAACCTGTCGCAATACAGTCAATTCACTTCACAGTATATTCCGTGAAGCTCTTTGCGACGTCTCAACAACGTGATTAGGTCCTATATCAAGTGCAAGGATCATTATAATAAACAACCACATTAATAAGTTTGCCAGAGAACATATTATTTCGAACTAGTGGCAACCCAAAACTATTTTCTGGTGTCCAAGACTGCACATTGTAACAAACGTAACTTCATCTCATTATTTTGTTTTTTTGTTAAACTAGCTCGCTGGCAGATGAGTCTGGAATCTGGTTTTCTGTAGTTTAATGGAGCTAATTGAGATGTGAACAAATTATTTGAATTTCAAGCATTCGGAGAAAGCAAGGTGTTTAAATTGGGCCTACGGATTGAGAATAAAAGGGGAATGCGTATTTATTAGGACAGACTGTCGTGGATCTTTATTAAAGAAAATGCTGCTCAATTCAATATTGGGAAGGGGAGAGTGCAAATTTACTGTACGGTTAATTAGCTCGTGAGGATTCTGTCACGTTCTGGATTTAGAATAAAAAGAGTAATTCCAAATAAGTTCACTAGCCTACCCAATTTGTGTGTAGTAATACATTAATTGGCTTTTAAGAATTGAACGTGTTAAGAATTTAGCTCATCCAGAAATGGATTTTAAGCAGTCTCGTCACCAGGTGTCAGCCTGGCTCAGTCGGTAGCACTCTCACCTCCGAGTCAGAGGGACTTTGAGCTCAGTCTACGCTGACGCTCCAGTGCTAAGCGAGGGCTGCATTATCAAAGATGCCATCCTTCAGTTGAGATGTTAAATCAAGGTCTGCCTTTTCAGGTAGACATTAAAGATCCCATAGGACCAATTGAAAGAAGGGAATTTATGTCTGTGTTCCTAGCCAACAATTTGTCAGATAAAATGGCTCATCTACTTCATGGCTGTTTGTGAAACTTTGCTGTGTGCAAATTGGCTGCCGCTTTCGCCTATAAAATTGTCACTACAGTATATCCGGTGGCACTCTTTGAGACGTCCTGTAATGAAAAACCCTATATCAAATGCAAACATTAGGATTACTATTCTCCAGTTCCCTGTTTGATTCCAAAATTAATCCTTACTCTCAGAAGAATGCACTTTGTTTTGCTTTTTTTAAAAACATTTGCATGTTCATTTATGCAGGAGGATCCTCCTGACAGTGCAATTTGCATCCATTTCATATTCTCTCACAATCTGACTTGTTCTCCAAATGGACATACTCTGTTTGATTTTAATTATTCCTTGGAAGGTACATGGGCAAGTCGTAACGTGGGGAAGTTGTAAGTAATGTGAATGCATGGAAATATCTGTGCTATAATTCTGTGTGGCTGGTTCCCTGAACTTATTTAAGAAACAGCAGGGTGTTCTAATGCAAGCCCTGTAAGCCCTGAGGCTGCCTTCAAACCTCGGTTGTGAATTGCTGTCCGTCTCTCTGAATATAAATTCAGTCAAACTTGTAAATTAATGATTCCTACAGAAAAGGAATCTTGGCAGAATTTTTAGTCTGGAAAAATAAGATTTAGACAAGGTTTTCTGCTACTAGAGATCACTATAAGGAGTTGGTATAGTACCAAACATGTTTTATGTTATTTTCTAATTGCTGTGTTATGAAACACCAATACTAATTTCAGTAAGTTGCCCAGAGGTTTTAACTCGATCATGTTTGCCTCCCAAGCTTTTGCCCCCATCAGTCACCTGTTGGTGCAAAAAGATCTATCACTTCTGCCCCTTATTGACATTTTGGACGTCCTCATTCCAGCAAAGCAAACCTGTGATGTCGTCGTTCTGAAAGTCAATATTCCAGAACACGCTGTGGTCTCACGACTGTTTATAATGAGAAATGTTCGTACCTATCTGGTGACTTTTTTTGCCAGTTGCTTTGCTTTCATCCAGTATATTATATTGAGAAACTGATCTCAGTGGTTTAATTTGTGTGGGACAGATTGTGGGTATGATGATGTTAGTCTGCTCTGTATTCCATTGAGAGGGAGAGTGGCAGGAATGAAGAATTAATGCATTGTGTCGCACATTAATTTTCTCATATCTAATGTATGGCGTTCATTATTTTAAAGCTTTTAGTATTTATCAAGAGGGTGAAATTAATATCTTTCCAGTTTTCACGGCAGCTTGCACCCAGTGTACTGGATAGACACAGAGTCAATTTTCAGATTAGAAAGATGCTTCATTCTTTCCACCCCGGCCAAGCTTGTGTCTTCTGCAAGTGGGATTGCAGAATCAAAGGCAGTTGTGCACTGTGGACATTTGCCAAGCTTTCGGCAGCCTGGCTTGGATTCCAACACAAAGGTGAAAGGGTGTTGTTGTTCTCACCCAACGCGCTCTCTAGCACCTGTCCTGTGCAATGTATCTGATACAAAGGCTTCAATTCTCACTATGGCCCTTCGTGGATTTGTCACTTGTCACAGTTTTTTCAGCCCAAAAAGTGACACACGAGCATGAAAGTAGTGGTGCACTTTGCTGAGCGATGTTAAGATGACCTCTTGCCCAATAAAACAAAATGTATGACAAGTCTGTCAATTTTGCGCTCGACCTTGCTAGATAAAGTGTTGACGGGCGATGCGTTTTCTCTTAAACCAGAGTGGGCACAGATGGCACCAAGTCTCTTTTCCAAATTCATCCCAAATATCCTTCCTCCGGCTTTGGAATGCGAGCTGTCGGAGTATGCCGCTCAGGACCAGAAACTCCAGCGAGAACTGATGCAGAACGGCTTTGCCAGGTAAACCTCCTGCTGTAAATCACAAGCCTTTTCACATCAAATCAAATCAGCCAAAGCCGCCGATAAAAGTACGTATCGTACAATAGCCTTTGGGTTTGTGTTTGGTTGGTACTTAGTATTGTGAATTGAAGGGTAAAGAAGTAAACCTGAAATGTTGCAAACAAGCCATCCTCTTTGCAGATTTTACTAAGCGATCATGAATATTACCATCAATAAATAATTCTAGGTATACAATGTAGACCTTTTTTGGAGGAAGATGCCTAACTCCACGTTCCTTATTGTTCACGGTCGAGCCCTTGTGTAGATTTACCAGTGTGCGTGTATACAGGAATTAACACTTGGGTTTGGTTATGTTTGCCTCAGTTTCCCAGTGTTAGATCTCTAGATCTAAATTGCTCATTATTGGACAGACTGATAAATATCCTCTCCCACTGCAACAAGATGATAACCAGCAACGAATTGCATTTAAAAAGCGCCTTTCATGTCAGGAAGACGTCAATTGCTTTGGTCAAAGGCATGATTGGAATTTTTTAATTCCAATCCCCAATATCTGAGAGAATAGTCCATTTGGGGTAGTCTAACAATTACAGCACAGAAACTGGCCATTCATTCCATCAACGCTGTGTTGGTTCGAAAGCAATAAGTGGTAAGACTTTGTATTGCCCTTTTCCTATTCATGTTGTGTCCCCTTTCATTTAGAGAGTATAAATATTTATTTCACGATGTTGGGTGCAGGAAAGCAAGTGACTGAAATAAATGCAAAATGGCATCCTGTTAATTTTAGTGCCGTATAGTCTAAATGTTACAATTTGAAGATCAGTGGGAACGCTAATGATTTGTATTCCACCATTAAAACCGCAATCTGTCATTGCAAAGGTACTGTGGATGCAGGTGCCTGTATATTGAAGGCTTATTGAAGGAAACTTGCCAGTAGCTGCTTTACTGAGATTTCAGTTACAAACCTTCCATGTGGAAGGCATCAATCAGCGGAATGTGTTTTTCAAAGGCGATCTATCACCTTGCTGTTCAACTGGATTCTAGGTTCTAAAAGTATTAAAGGAATTAATGCTCTTTTATTGGCTGTGGGAGCTACCACAAGTTTAGTTAGGTCACTGAATTAAAGGCTAGGAACTAAAGAGGTCTGTATGTCTACATTTCAGACAAGATTTTACTTAAATCTATCATTGCTTTCTGTGGGATGACAAAAAGCTATTTCCGTCTCTCTTTTATATACTGAAAAGTAACATGTATTTCATTGGTAACTTCCAGGTGTTGATTTTAATTTCACCGCACAGATTGTAAACTTAAATGCATCACGGGTCTCAACATATACCCTTAACATGATTCCTTTCTCAATAAAGAAAGCCACATTATCAATGCTCTGATCTTAGCATTATTAAAATTGTCCAAAGACCCAGTCTTGCTCTGCAGTATAAGAGTAATTTTTAAAACATTTTTATGACAATAATGCTTGCATTTGATATAGCACCTTATCATGTCTTTGAGATGTCTCATAAAGCGCTTCACAGAATATACTGTGAAGTGAATTGACTGGATATTTTGTGGGCGAAACATGGCAGTTAATTGCTCACAGCAGTGTCCCACAAACAGTCGTGGATTGAATAACCAAATTATTATTTTGATTTTTTTTGAAGGGATCATTACCCCCGGAAAAGTGATCTGACAATCAATTAACAATCGGGGGTCCTACTTACTGTTAGGTAAACAGAGGTGTGTGGAGTAAGGAAACTTGCCCAACATTTCGCCCTGCCCGGGAATCAAACCCGGGTCCTCTCGCTTGCGAGGCGAGTGCTCTAACCACTGAACTACAGTACTTGCTATTTAGTAACACTTTGCCTTTAACTCTGATTTCCAAGAAGTAAAACCTTTTTTTCTCTCTTCCCCCACCCCCCGCCACCCTCTCTTTTTATTAGAGGTGATCAGTCACGTAAAAGAGCTGGAGAGGAGCTAATGTATAGTAAGTACATTTTAAATTCAGTACCGTATTGCAAATCTTAATGTTACTTATCAGGCAGTGCAGAGTGCTGTTTAGATAAAAATGTGAGCAATCATTTTCTTTATGACTTGAGCTGGTTGAAGCTAGAGAAATATAAGTATTCGGTGGTTTGCTATTCCATTTTCTGTCTTTCCAAATGTTCTTATCCTGATCCTCTTGTGTTTCAGATGGGTCAACTTCATGTGCAAGCGCAAGGGGATTCAGATAGTGAAAACAATTGACATTTCCTTGACAGAAAGACTGACCTACGAGGAGCATGCCACATACATGAGACTTGTGCAGAGATGGGGACCTACTGAAGATCAGCCCATATTGCGTCCCCTTTCTCTTTTTTCCCCCCGCCACCCCCACCCCCTCAAAAAAAAAGACTTAACTCAATTTTATCTGATGATCATGCTGCTAACTGACTTGGGATTATTCTTCCCAGTGGCTCTTAATATGGCTTCCTTCCTGGATGTGAATTGTATAAGGTTTACCATGAGTGAGCTTCAGGGATCCCATTGATGGGATTCTGAATGGGACGCTTGCGAGAAGCACAGCTTCCAATGACCCATCTCCACCCACGCCTGACGTTTTATCATGGCTTTTAGTTTTACACTCAGACAGCTTGTAAAAGTTCATCTATTTTTCTTCCATGTGTTTACCGCGACCATCAGGAGGCTGCTTCTCCGGTTTTGACCTCTGAACGTTTACTTTCGGACATGCAGGAAACTGAACTCTGCGACTGTTTACTGCGACTTACACGCTCATCCCTTCACTAGCCAATCGTGGTGTTTTAAGGCGTTCATCTTCCGCCACTGTTTTCCTGAAGTCGTTATTAAACCGAATGTTTTTGTTTCACACGCGCTTCATTTACAGAAGTGAGTGTACCGCGATGGGGAAGATGGTTTACGTGGCCCGGAAATATTTTGCTTTAACCCATGTCGAGTTTTCACCGTTGAAAGGATAAACCAAAAGTCAAACCTATAGATCTCATCACCTGGTAAAAATGCATTAATCCCCAGCTGCATTGTTTTTTCATTGAATGTACTTCCTGTTGAATACAATACAACCCAAAGTTTCTGTTACTCAGCACTAAATACTTGTCATTGCACAATAATGAATCCACGCTGCCTCTTCAAAGATGTGCAGCAAGTGCCATTATACTGAAGTGACTCGCTTCATTTTGACAGCATGAGGTCTATTGCCGTTTGATTTAGATTCTGTTATTTCCTTTATCTTTATTGGCCTGCAATCCTCAATCTGATTTAATCAGATGGCAGTCATGGACATGATTTGTTTTGGAAAAGGTGGGTGGGTGGGCCTGGCGGGGGAGGGGAGAAGATCACCTTACTTGGATCTGAGTAGCCAAAGTTGAATCGCACAATTTGATCTTGCTTTCAATATCGGCTGTTGTTTCACTGGGGAAAACAGCAATCTTCAGGAGAGGGCAGACCGGCACCTAATCAATTGGTGGTTGAGCCAATGAGTTTACTTCTGAGCCGTCTCCATATGATGGCAATGCTTGTAGGAAGTTTCTCGGCAAACATTTCTAAGAACCCAAATAGTGACTGGAATTTGGGAGGCTGTAAACCTCCGTTGTGCAATAACATTCTTTATGAGACTTGGGGGTCATTGTAACAAAACCTTTTTTTGATCATTTCTGTAACCATTGTAACAAATAGTTTACACTTCCAACCCCTGTCTGCAGTCTGTCTGTATGTTTTTTGCCTAATGATTCTTTGTGGAGGGAGTGTGGGTGTTATACAGCACAAAAGATTAATGTATAACATCATGTCTGATTGGATAAAATTGACTTGTGGAACCACGCTAACCAGTAGCTGTCTGAGGGACCAAAACGATAAGTACAACTGCTATTAACCACAACTAGGATACAATGAATAAGCAGCAGTTTTTATCTGCAATTACTGAATTGGTTTCTCAATGCAATAATGGATTCAGCTTTCTGCTGTCACTTTTGTAAATTACGGAACATTAATTTAGCGCTACAGAGGGTGCGAGGGACAAGCAGGAGCCAGTGCCAATTGAGCGGAGGTGCCGAGTGGTGGATTGGCGTGAGATCGGAGAGGTAGGGAGGTGCCAGGGAGTGAATGGATTTGAACACGAGTGTGAAGATCTTGAAGTCGATCCGTTTGGTGATGGGGAGCCAGTGGAGCCTGTGCCAGACCTGGCAAGATATAGGTACGGAGTTGGTTCGGGTAAGTATGCGGGCGGCAGAGTTCTGAATGAGCTGGATCTTTGAATAGTGGGGCTGGGGAGACCGGCGAGGAGTGTGTTTGAGCAATCTATACGGGAGGTGACAAACGCATGCATGAGGGATTCAGATGTGGGCAAGGTTTCGTTTTTTTAAATAACTCAAATCGTCAATCAGAAATCTAGGGAGTTACAGGACTGGGTGTCACAATGTACTAGAATAATATCCTTTTGCCTTTGGGACATAATAAAAGATGATCTTTGCATTTGCTGTAATACCTTCCACGTTGCTGAGCTGTGTCTTCAATATCCTGGCACCCGTTCATGATTTACTTTTGAAGTTTAGTGACTGAATCTTTTGAAGGTGAACGCAGTACATGAGAGAACCTTTCGAACATCTCTGTCTGCTTTGTGAAAGAATGTTGCACAGAATGGATTTGGGCAAAGTTGACCTGGAGAGTGGCTTACTCACAGCACAAACAGTCATCATTTAGCAAACAAGGCAATAAATAGATATTGTATAAGTATCGCTACATAAATATCACTGAGTTCTTAATGAATAGGTGACAATCTGTGATGTTTCACAGCACATTCGCTCTTCGTCAAGACAGAGTAGAACTTCATCCCTGTCAGCTCCCCTAAGTGGCTCATCATGCTTCAACTCTGCTGTCGCTCACTTTTTCCTCCACTTTCTTCTCCCCACCACAAAGAAGGGTTCCAAAATTTCATGATCCGACAATATGAAAGAAGTGAGCAACAGGAATTCCTTTCCATGAATCTATTTTTGCTAAATGTCTTTTGGGTGAGGAGAAGACTTCAAGTAGTGCCAATCTCCTAAGATTCCTGTCGAATTGGAGAAATCTGATTTTAATTTCTTCCATCTTCAGCCTGTAGAGCACAAAAGCACACGTGATATTATCAATTTTTTTAATAATATCCCACCGGCCGACTCCTTGTACGAATACCCCTCTACAACCTGGTAGTGGATTATAATATAGAGCCTTTACATTGAAATGTCTTATCCAGTAATGCAATTGACTTAGTTACTCACATACATCAGTACCAATGCAGATATTGAACATTTTGGCTGGATGTTTCTACCCTCTCATCACGGCTGAACGTATTGGGAACATTTATTTGAACTATAAAGGTACATTCCAGACACGATTGACACTTTTACTTAAAATAGAGAAATGCAAAGGGACTTTCTGAACGAGCTGAGCTATCGATTAGTGACCATTAATCTTGGCCTTTGATGGCTGGGGTTATCCTGACACTGAATTGAACATTTAAATGCAAATTCCTTGGGATTTGTAGTTTTTAATGAGCAAGCCACTTTAAATCAAAAACTCCTTTGTATTTCAGCAGTGCGATGGATTTCGGTGTAAAAAGAACAATTCTCTAAACTGCTAAACAAGACGAGATTAAAATCCTGGTGAGGTTAGACCACAGAAAGTAAGAGTGACCTTCAAATTTTCTGTCTCCCCATCTTGCAATGCACCATAATTCAGAGCTTTTACATTAAAAACAAAGGCCTCTTTGCACCATACGTTTTTAAAATGCTTCAATCTCTAGTCATTACAGTTTGAGTGCCAAAGTAGGAATGTTCGTACATCTCGCATCGCAAATCTGCTGTCAAAGTGATCGTTTTAAACTACTTAAAATTGACAATAAGCAAAGCTCTGCCGTACACAGAACAATGGTGTAAAGTTTGAACACAGTATTTTATGCCAAGACAAAGGAAGGAGTTAACAGTTGAAAAATTCAGATGAAAGTAATTAGCCTACTATTTGCACTAAAACAAACTTGTACTGTTTTGGTAAACTGCTAAAAAAAACAGTATATTGTTAATACAGAGTAATTTAGTATTGGGTATGTGGATTGTGGAGTCTTGTAATTTAGTGGTTAGAGCTATTTCGAACACTGCTGTGCGCAATTGGCTGCCGCGTTTCACCCACATAATATACAGTCAATTCACTTTACAGTGTATTCTGTAGAGCACTTTGAGACATCTTGAAGATGTGATAAGGCTCTGTATTTAATGCCTCGTTGCTCTAATACCCGATACCTAATAGACTTATCAAATGCAACAAGATTACATTTGTATAGCAATGCAATATTATTATAATATTTGTATTATTTATATAAAATGCAAGGATTATTATTATAATATTTACTCATCCATAGCTCTGAGGCAAATGTTCAAGAAGTTAAAACAATAATCCTTGAGTTTGATATAGCACCTTATCACACGTAGTGACTTACTGTTATGTTTAATGATTGTGTATTTGTAGGGGAACGTACAGCTCATTTGTACACAGCAATGTCTCACAAACAGTTGTGGATTGAGTGACCAAGATTAACATTGAAAGAGAAAAGGAGGGAGTGGGGGCAAGACACTGGATTTTTTTTTAGGATTGTTAGAAAACAATGCGTTGCCACTGATATCTCCTAACAACTAGTTAATAATTCATTAAAAAAAATGCTTGAAAAATAAGATGTTAAATGGTATGGACTTAAGAGGAGGTTAATAAGAGAGTAGATTGTTCCTGCTGGTCAGTGAGCACCAGCACATACAGTGACCTCCTTCTGTGCTGCAAACAACCTGTGATGTCCTAAAATTACTCAGAGGAAGTGATGTGTGTAGGATGCATAATCCTACTACATTAGTTGTGTGTTTAATGAGATTAAAAACAAATGAAAACAATTCCCTGAATTTATTTTTTTACTGCAAATTGGCCCGTTCAAGCCACTGCAATTCTAAATGTCAAACTAAATGCTTAATGCAGCAGTCTGAAGCCCGGGCATCCAGTAGTGTTACTTGTCGAGAGAGATGGCAATGAGAAACAAAATGAGACACAAATGTGCTTTCGTATTTCAGAACATAAAAGAAAATCTGCACAAAAAAAAGCAGAAGGTGACATCATTTTGCAGTTTTTATGGTTTTCTGTCTTAAAATAAATTAACAATTAAAAAGAAATCCTTGGCACAAATGGTTTTATTCTTTTCAAACTGAACATTGTGATGAATAATATATAGATCGCTGTAACCTCCCGTGTTCATGATTTAGGCTCGGAAGAAGCCAAGTGTTTTCAATAACAGAATGCAAAAGGCGAAACTGCAGATGCTGGAAATCCGAAATAAAAACACAAGTGGCTGTCAACACGCAGCAGGTCAGGCAGCATATATGGAGAGAGGAAAGTGAGTTAACATTTCAGCTCGATGACCTTTTGTCAGAACAAAATGCAGCGGGCTGTTTTTTTAAATAGATTTAATTCTCTTTTTCATACAGGCAATATCCCTACTATTGGTCAGTCTTCCTTTTCCCCCTCAGCCTTCTGCTGTTGAATAATTAATTCTATAAGACACTGTGTCAAATGCTAGGATTATTGTAACAATAAATAATAACAGTCCTTGCTGATTGATATACGGCAGTTCCTTTCACTTTGGGAGGATGTCTCAAAATGCTTCAGAGGCTTCATTGTAAAGTGAGGTGACTTGTAGGCGAAAGCGACAACCAATTTTGCTTGCAGCCGTGACCCACAAATCCCCTGAAACCCTGACAAATTAGGGTTGGGTGGCGAGGGAGGTTGTTTGAACACATAAGGAGAAATTCCTTTCTCTTCAATGGGATCAGGCAGATGTGACCTCGATTTAACATCTCACCAACACTGCAGCATAACCCCAGCACTGCATTGGAGCATCAGCCACGACTGCTGAAGTTCAAAGTGCTGACTTGGGGCTCGAACCCACGACCCTTTGTGGAGTCCTGTAGCTCAGTGGTTAGAGCACTCGCCTTGCAAGCGAGACACCTGGGTTCAATTCCAGGCAGAGGGCGAAACCTTGGGCAAGTTTCCTTACTCCACTCAGAGCCTAATAATAATCCCTCCAAAACAATAATACATTGGTCATTTTCAATCCACGACTGTTTGTGGGACATTGCTGTGCGCAATTGGCTGCTGCGTTTCGCCCACAAATATACAGTCAATGCACTTTACAGCATATTCTGTGAAGCGCTTTGGGACGTCCTCCCGACGTGAGAAGCGCTATATCAAATGCAAGGATTATTATTATTAAGAGCTTTGAGACGTCTAGAAGACGTGAAAAGCACTATATCAAATGCTATGATTATCATTACTATAACTGGGCAGCTGCACTTTACAGTGAATCCTGTGAAGTGCTTCTGATATGAAAAGCATATCGAATGGAAGGATTATTATTATAGGAGAGAGATGCAAAACAACTTTAACAAGTCTCACACAGTAGTTGGCTTTGCGTCCACATTTTGCAGAACAAATATTCTGCGGAAGAAATAATGTGAAGGTTTGAAAGGGTTCTTTATCTCCATTACTATTGCAAGGAAATAATTGCTTGAAAGAAATACCCTATTATCCTGTCAGCATCAAGGGTGTTTTTTTTGAGACGGGGAGGGTGGTTTAGTAATCATAATGAGATGAAAATTGCAACTGCAAAGTTGCTCATTTATAGAGGTAAGTGGAACCGCCTTTTTATGAAATGGATTCAGATGAGACCTAATTGCGAGAGCTTGGTATTGTACTCCTGCTGTTTCCCTGTTTAGCAGGTGCGGTACAAAGGATTCTTGGCTGAGAGCAAGTCAAACTTCTTGTCAGCGGTAGTCACGTCACCAGAGAACAAAGATTACACTGAAGTGTTTGAAATTCACTCGCAATTATTGTCAACAGTTGTTTTTCTTCCTGCGATCGCATTGAAAAAGGGCTCAGGAATTGGGGTGACAAAGTATAAGACAGGAACTCAGCCAGTCCAATTTTAAAAGAACTCCACTTGACGGGGAAATGTAAATTAGCCTGAAAATGGTATTTCAAGCAGAGAGAGCATCTTAATGTTGGACCCGTGGATCAAGAGAAGGATTATTTCCTTTAGCACTATACCTGTAATGGCTGGTGCTTTACCGAATGATTGATGGATGATATTCATGTTCAGTAAACAATATTATGGTTGAGAGATGTGTCATAGAGAAACAGCTTCGCACGGTCTTTCTCCATTTATGGACCAGCAATAAGCAGTGCTGTGTAGCAATTCCTGGCAGGAGTATAAAATGGGCCCATGTACCGTATCATTCCAATTTTGCACAAGATTCCTTTGATGTATCCGTAAATAGGTGTCAGCTGGGCTCATTTGGTAGTACTCTCGCCTCTGTCGTAGGTTCAACAATAATAATCCTTGCATTTGATATCGCGCCTTATCACGTATTCGAGACGTCTCAATGTGCTTCACAGAATATACTGTAAAGTGAG